GTTGCTAGGAGTCAGAATTGACTTTTTTTTTTTTTTTTTTTTTGGTTTTATGAGTTGGAACTAACTTGACCATTGTTGTTAAGTGCCATCAAGTCGGTTCCAACCCATAGCAACCCTGTAGAGGGTTTCTGAGGGGCAGCTGATGAGCTTGAACCACCAATGTTGTGGTTCAAACCGACTTTGCAGTCCAGCATATTAACCCACAGCACCACACCAGGACTCTACTTGATAGCACCTAACAACGACCCATTTTGAGTTAATTTTCATTATGTGTTAAGGAGGTAAGGTTTTTTTGTTTTTTCCTTCATACATATATCCATTTGTTTTGATGTTAAAAATTCTCATTTCCCTTTTTGAAAATCAGTGGGTCATAAATGGGCTGATCTAGTTCTTCACTCTACTGTTGCAGAATTCTTATCTCAATATGACCTTGATTACTATAGATTTACACAGTAAACCATTTGGTAGTGCAAATCTTGAACCATTTCTTTTGGTCTTTTGCATTTCTGTATGTATTTAACAGTCAACTTCTCTACAAGACTGCCAGAATTTTGAATGGTATTGAACTACATTTTTATCAATTTAGAGTTAATTAACATTCACAGCTATAGTCCTGGTGTGGCACTGCAGGCTAAACACTGGACTTCTAACCAGCTGCTCCTCGAAAACCCTATACAGGGTCACTATGCACAGAAACCCAATTGGTGGCACTTAACATTTACAACTGGACAATTAAGCAACATTATAAAACCTGAAGTTATCTGGGATTTCATTTTACTTCGATGTACAATCAACACTCAAGAAAGCAGCAGACATCAAAGATTTATTGCATTCTGCAAATCTACTCCAAAAGACCTCTTTAAAGTGTTCAAAAGAAATCATTTTGAGGACTATGGTGCACCTGGGAGTCTTGGTGTGGTGCTGTAGCATAAGCTAACAGCAAGGTCAGAGGTTCAAGCCCATCAGCTGCTCGATGGAAACCCTATACAGGGTTGCCGAGTTGATCCCTCTTGATATTTAACAAGGTGCATCTAACTCAAGCCAAAGTATTTTCAATCACCTCATGTGCATGTGAAAGCTCAATAATGAATAAGGATGATTGAAGAATTGATGCATTTGAAATATGGTGTTGGCAAAGAATACTTAATATACCCTGGACTGTCAGAGAATGTACAAGTCTGAGAAAGCAAAGATGGCAAGACTTTGGACGTTATTAGGATGGATCAGTCTCTGGAGAACAGACATCACATTTGGTAAAGGGTCAGTGAACTAGATCCTTGAGATGGACTGACACACTGGCTCCAACAGTGAGCTCAAACATGGCAATAACTGTGAGGATGGCCTAGGACTGGGCAGTGTTTCATTTTGCTGTACATAAAGTCATTATGTGGCATCCTGGTGTGGTGTTATGGGTTAATAAGCTGGATTGCAACATCGATCTGAACTGCTCACCAGCCACTCCTTGGAAACCCTATAGAAGGTCACTGAGTCGGAACTCACTTGATGGCAGTTAACAACAAAGTTGTTATGAGTTGGAATTGTCTCCAAGGTAACATTTATAAATCTTGTAATATAAAATTTACACTCACAAAATTGAACTTACAATTCTCTCTCTCCATGTTTTTCTTTTTTTCACTTCATAGTACATTTTGTGGTTTTCATTGGGCACATTTTGCATACATTTGTCCCTAATAATTTCAAGTTTTTAGTACTTAAAAGTGGTTCTAAAATTTCAATTCAATGTTGTTGCTAAGCATGTAAAAATAAAGTTGAATTTTATATATTGATATATAACTAATAGTCACATATTATTTGTAATAGCTTTCTTACATTCTTTTGTTTTTTTGACACAATCACATCTTGTACAATTTATTTACAATATATATGCCTTTTTATTTACAAGCTACATATTTCAAAATTGTAGATTGTAAGACTCCATTTTGTAGAACTGTCATTTTTGCTTTTTATTAACACTTTAAAGAGATCTTTTACAGATCTGCCTAATTCAATGTCATTGAGTCATCTTATTCTTTCCAAATTGCTAGCTTTTAAGAGTTACTTGTTGTTGTGTCAATTCTAATACATGGTGACCCTGTATAGGGTTTCTAAGAGTGGATGGTGGGTTTGAACTGTTGACCTTTCAGTTAGCAGTTCAATGATTATCTTATAGTGATATATATCAGATGTACTATCAGATTTTCACTCAGTCAAATATCTCAAGGAATTGGAGACAATTTGTGTGCAAACAGAACATAAACAAAAATCTCACATATCATAGAAACATAATGTATAATATTTTTATTTTTCTCATTTTACTATTTTGACATTTTATGCACAAATATTTTTTATCTGAGTAAAAATAGAAAATAACTGTTTTATGTAAAATTACAAAAAAATTTTTCAACCACAAAGAAATACATAATTGTTACTATGACAGCATAAGTGTCTTTATTTAAAGAGTAAAAATGTATGCAAAAGTCCTTCTCCCTTTTACAAAAGAATGCGAATATTTTTTTCCTGGCAGCAAGTGAAATATCACTATTTTTTATACCCTCTAGATTTGAAGACATTAAGTTAGTCACAAGTTTTGCAATTATGAATTTTAAACACATTTTGTGCTATTTCAAAATATACATTAGTTATTTTTTTAAAGGCAGTAACATAAAATAATGACTATGAAAAATCATTAAGCCTTACCCAAAATATTTGGAGGCACAACCCATATTTAGAAATACCATATTTACGTTTCACTATTAATAGCTAGGGGGTAAAAACAACTAATGAATTTTTTTCCTCATTAACTGACATAGTTTGATACAAAAACAAATGTAGCCAGTCAACTACCCATAACAGTTCTGCTTAATTTGCTTAATATTATGATGCCAACACAATTTTTTTAGGCTTTAGGCTTGAGAGACATTAAAGTTGGCTCAATGAAAACCTTATACGGAAAACAAGTTTTGTAACAAAAGTGAACATGTCATTATTCTTGTACACGTGAAGTACAAAAGGTGACCAAGAATTGCATCTTTCTTCCTTTGTATACTATAAATTCTTCTGCTATGAAAAATTTGTTCATAAAAACAGAACAGAGGATATACAGCATGAATTTTATTTTAAAATAAATGAAGACTGACTATCCAGCTTTCTGATAATTATAACCCGAACAAGGACAAAGAAAACAGCTTATATATAAGTTGGAACTATAAGTTATGAAAGACTTCTTGACTGGACTAGGGAAATTAATCTCATTATTTACCATGTCATGGTACATAAAATGATGGTAAAAGAAGTGAGGGAGAAAAAAGAAATAGCATTTATCATGTATGAGAACTACCTCTGTTCAAATTACAATTAGAAATAAAATCTGCCAAGGAGGGCAGGGAAATGCTGGTTATAAAAAAAAAAAAAGTGTATCAGGGGAATGTTTACAGAAGAAACATGGTTTGATACTGAGGATCTAAAAAGAAATATGGGTAGTCTTTGTCTTAAAAAAAATCCTAAAAAAATACATTTAACTGAGAAATAACCTTGGTTAAAACTTTAACACACTGTTCCCTTCAAAAGCATTGTAAACTTTACATAAGGTCAAGATTCTTAATGCCTTGGTACTGTATCAGGATAGCATAGTATTTTTTTAAACCATAATCGACTTGTCAACTCTCTAAGCAACAAGATGGTGTAATGTGAAGCTATAGTTTCTATTATTTCATATTGCTATCCTACTTAGATATTCTTGCAATATTATAATGAAAATCTAAGATGTCAGTCTATATTGTATTTATAACAAAACAAAAATGGAAGCTACAAATGTTATTGTATCTACTACAGGTCCTAAAGTTCAACAAACTGACTTTATATGTTGTAGTCCTCTAACAGAGCAGTTAAAATTATCATTTAAGATTACCAGAAAAAGAGATTATATATCCTTTTCTCCTTGTTTCCCAAATCTCTACATATATGGTTCCTTCCGAGCAGTTCATTAGTACTGCTAGCAGCAATCACTTACAATGTACCTTGTCCACACTACCCTGGCCATTATTTATAAAAGCTCATTAACTGAGCTTTTACAAAATTACTTTAGGACGGATCTAAGGTAAATGAGGCAGGAAAAGGTGAATAAAGCAATATTTAAGATTCACTCTTGCTGTAAGCAGATTAAAAAGCTTTTGCCAGTCTCTCATATCATGATTCATGTATACCTTAAAACAAATGACAAAAAGAAAGAAGAATACATTTCTAGCCATTTCTGTTTAGTGTTAGTTTACAGTAAATAAAGAAGTTATATATATTTAAGAATTAATTTTTCATGTTATTTAATATTTTCCCTTTTGAATATCTTACGCATATAACTATATACACCCATATATATGGCCAATTATAAATGTATATGGATATTTGTGTACACACGTATATGATATTCAAAAGGAAGAAAATTAAGTAAATGGAAAGTTTTGTTTTAAAACATAAAAATTTTAAAATGTTGGCAAGTAATTCACTAATATTTTGAAAGGCAAAAAGCACTGTTGACTGATTAAATGTCTCCATTTCCTCAGAAGTACAATGTATATATAAGTTGTCTTGCATAATAAACCGGCACTATCCAGTAATAAAAGGGGGAAAAAATAGAAAGCTATACCAAACCAAACCAAAGTTTTATTTTCTGGGTGAGGTATACTTTACTTTCAGTTTTTTAAATCTCTGACAGGACAAACAGAGATCACTTCAGAAATTTTCTAATAACTGGTTTATTAGAATTAAATGCCTCTCTCAAAATAATTTAACTTATTGGCCTCACTTTATGTATACTCTATACAGCAAATCCTTAAAGTTGGCTTGAGTTAAGCCAGATTTAAATCTGAATCTCTTTCTTCAGCACTGCTCTTCTGCCAGTAGACTTATTGTCTTTACTTACAAATATATAAATTACTTTAATAACTTGATACTCCTAGTTTAGTAATTTATTAATATCATTATAATTTTATTTGATATGAATATTTTAACTCTGCTTGATTAGATAAAACAAGCACACATGCTTTAGCTGTGAAATATTCCATTTTGAGCTCTCTACGTAAAGCAACATCTAAAGCAGCAGAGAGGGGAAATAGTTACATTTTCAAAAACAGTATGCTAGACTGTTTCCTGAAGATATATACTTTATTTTTCATCTTTAGGTGCTACTGGCTATTTTTGGTAGGGTTACACATTAATACTGACCAGTTTAACTTTCCTGACTGTTAACAAACTATTCCACAATCAACATGTTGCCTTCATGCTGAAAACATTGTGGTGATTCCTATTCTAAAATATATGCTCAAAGTAAAAAGATTCAAATTCACAAGTATGAAATATTTATATAAAAAAAATCATGCATCAGATTTTACAGTCTAGAAATAAGATTCAAATTCAGTAATAAAGGTAAGAGCAATACATGCTCTAAATATTTAAGGAAGACCTCAGTCTCCCGGAAGGTTCTGGGACTCAATTATCCTTTTCTGTCTGCAGAGAAGCAGTAGCCAGTGTCACTGCTGTGACTGGCTGAGCAATTCCATGAAGTTGCATCTTTGCAAGTTTCTTTTGTTCACATTCTGTGACCAAACGGTTCAACTCTGCTGCACTGTATCCAATAAGAGTCTTCAAGTCACAAACAAACTTATACACAAATCTCTTGCCTTGAACTTTACAAATCATGTCCCCATCATAATAATACCTTTAAAAAGAGAAAAACACATAGGATTATATAAAGAATTCAGACTTCTTATCAATAAGCAATAATTTCCTAGTCAAGTATTATATCCACCAAAATAGAAATCAACACTGACATTATAAAGAAATAGTTCATGCTAACTATCTGAGATCGTCAGAGCATTATTTACTGAAAACTTAATGCACAGTAAATATGGTATCTAAACTTTCAAAGTATATTTCAAAGTCTGCTAGACTACTGATATAAAAATAAACTAAATTATTAAACAATACAAAACAAACCCAAGTCAAAAACTTCTGGAGCAATGGTACAATTCATATGAACAATGGCTTTGGAGTCACAGTGACTGCCAAAATAAAAAACCTAGTTGTTGCTATGTGCCGTGGAGTCGGTTCCGACTCATAGCAACCCTATACAGGGTTTCCAAGGCTGTAAATCTTTACAGGAGCAGAACGCCTCATCTTTCTCCCATGGAACAGTTGACCCTGAGGTTAGCAGCCTGATTTGTAACCACTACGCTACCAAAAACCTAGGTGTTGTTAAGTGCCGTCGAGTCGATTCCGACCCATAGCGACCCTGTATACAGTTTTCGAGGAGCAGCTGGTAAGCTGGAACCACCGACCTAACACTTCAAATGGCTTTGCAGTCTGAAGTGGGCACATTACCCCACAGCGCCACACCAGGACTCCAAAAACCTAGTAGTAATAGCTTAATTGCTTTGTGACAAGAGGTAAGTTACATTTTTTCTAAGTTTTTAGTCCTCATCTATAAAAAAGAGGTCAGAAATATAATTTATCCTCACAGAACTGAGCATTCAAAGACTGCTCATAGTTAGTCCTTTAAAAAATATAAGCTATGTTAATACTTAAGAATCCATATAAAGAAATTTTTCATACACTCTATGAATTTTTCTGTCTTGAAAAGTTTCTACATTATATAGCCATGTCTTCACTTGTATCATTTTAACATATAAGACTTTCCTTTCAGTAAATTTGTATGGGGTTTCCAAGGAGCAGCTAGTGAGCTTGAACCACTGACCCTGTGGTTCAAAACAACTTTGCAGTCCAGCACAATGCCGTAGCATCTTAGTTATGACGACTTCAAAGGAAACACAAATTTTGGAAAACAATCATCGTATATAATATTTAGATGGCCACAACTGTGTAGCAATGAGTAATAATCTAACCATAATTTCCACAGAATTATACAATGATATTAGAAAGCTGAGAAAAGGAAAAGCTGTGTTTGTGTTTAAGAACGTGTGTATAGTGATGAAAAAGAGTAAGATCCTTATATCCCAAAATGTGAAACTCACAGATAATGCTCAAATGTGAAACATGAAGTAGCAATATAATTTAGAAAGACAGAGGTAAATGGAAGAAAATGTCAAAAAGTGGTATGCCACTTATGAAATCTTATGAATAATCTTGAATCTACTAATGTAAAAGTTAGATAGTCAGACTTAGGCAGATTTGATTTAAGGGGAGAAAAAACAGGCACAGCAAATGGGTCAATATTTTATATCTAACTGTATAAATAGACGCCAAAAGAAGCATATTTGTTAAAATTTGCATTCACACTACTCCCCCATGCAAATGACAATATTTACATCTGTCATGCAAATTATAGAAACGTAGAAGATTAAACATTTTGGTTTTAAGCAGCGTAGTATACTTTAAAATAAAATAATTATAATGTTAAAATGTAATGTATGTACCTCAACATTATTATCTTTTATAAAAGCCATTTTTAACATTGTTGCTGTTAACTGACATTTAAGAATGACAAATTCTGGTATGATACTGCAGGTTAGTGTGCTAGACTGCAAAATCTGCTATAACCACAAGGTTGGTGGTTCAAACTCACCAAGTGATCCTCAGAAACCCTATACAAGGTAACTATGGGTCGGAACAAATTTGACGGCACTTAACAACAATATTGCTTGACCACAAGGTTGGTTTGAACCACAAGGTTGGCAGTTCAAACTCACCAGCTGTTCCTCCAAGTCAGTCCCTACCACAGCAATCCTGTTTAGGGTTTCTGAGCTGTTTGCTAGTGAGCTTGAACCACCCAGCTTGTATTTCAAACCAACTTTGCAGTCTAGTGCATTAACCTACGGCACCATACCAGGACTCCTTATAGTTAGGAATCCAATGCTTCGCCTATAGAGCCATACCAGGACGTTGTTGTTAGGTGCCATTGAGTCGGTACCAACTCATAGCGACCGTATGTATGCACAGCAGAATGAAACACTACCCGACCATGGGCCAACCTCAATACTATTGCCACACCTGAGTCCATCGATGCTGCCACTTGGCCAATCCATCTTATTGGGGGTCTTCCTCTTTTTCTCTTACCAAACATGATATCCTTCTCCACCTTACTAAACATGATATCCTTCTCAAGCGACTGTTCTCTCCTGACAATATATCCAAAGTATGAGAGACAAAGTTTGGCCCTCTTGGCCTCTAAGGAGCACTCTGGCTGAACTTCTTCCAAAATGAATCTATTAGTTCTTTTGGAAGCCCATGGCACTTTCAATATTCTCCTCCAAACACCATAACTCAAAAGCATCAATTCTTCTACGGTCTTCCTTATTCACTGTCCAGCTTTCGCATCCATATGAGGTTACTGAAAATACCATGGCTTGGGCCAGGCAAGCACACCTTAGTCCTCAAGCTGACCTCTTTGCTCTTCAACACTTTAAAAAGGTCTTGTGCAGATTTGCCTAATGCAATACGTTGTTTGATTTCTTGACTGCTGCTTCCATGAGTGTTAATAGTTGATCCAAGAAGAATGAAGTCTGAAGTGTGACAACATCAAACTTTCTCCATTGATAAGAATGTTGTTGATTGGTCGAGTGGTAAGTGTTTTTGTTTTCTTGACATTGAGATATAATCCATACCGAAGGCTGTGCTCTTTGATCTTCATCAGTAAATGTTTTAAGTCCTCTTCACTTTCAGCAAGTAAGGTTGTATCATCTGCATATCACAGGTTGTTAATGAGTCTTCCACCAATTCTGATTCCAC